AAATATCAAGGCACTGCTGATGAATAGGGTTTCAAAAACTGTATGGAGGTTTGATCGGTGGCTTCCACACCCACCCTGGGAGGGGGGCATCCTTGCTTTTGGGGGTGTAAACCTCACCCCTCGTCATAAATTAACAATGTACGGTGGGAGCAATCCCAAAATTTCACATTTTCCCCATGCGGGGCAGGGTTTGGGGGTCTCTGGTGTGGGGCTGCTGTGGTGAGGGACAGGGATTTGCTGACCCCCACCACGATGGACAGGGTGTGGGGAGGGTATTTTGAGGCTCCCCTGACGTGGAGCCTTTCCACCTGCTCATTATTTTCCCTTTTCTCTTTTAACCAGGCTCAGATTGAGCAAGGAGAGCACAGGGAGATGCTGGAGGAGGAGGAGGAGGAGGAAGGCTTTAGTGGGCACCACGCAAAGGTTGGGTCGAGGCTCTGCAGCTCCAGATGGTGAAGGGGAAGATGATGTAGGTCAGTGACCAGACGAGGCAATAGATGGAAGCCACTGTTCCCGGCACGAAGAGGACAACCACCACCCCTGCAGGTTGGGAAGAGCCTGTGGGATCTCCTCTGCTATCTCAGGGGGGTTTAATTACCCTTCCCTTGTTAATTTTCTCCCCGTCCTTACCTCCGGCGTAAACCACTTTCTTCCAGCGCTGAGACTCCAGCACTTTGTCGTGGGGGTAGAAGCTCTGGTTGACCATGAAGAGGATCATGACGACAGCAGTGACATGCAGCAGGGTGACGTTGCCCCCCGCCAGCAGGAAGGTGCTGGCCAGCAGTGAGGAGGCATAGGGACAGGGCAGCCCCCGGTAGGTGAAAGAAATCCCTGCTGAGTGCCAGATGTTCAGCCAGAGGGGTGAAATCACCCCACATACCCCCCGATGCCCCTCAAAACGCTGGGCTTACCACTAGAGAAGAAGCAGAGGCGAGCGAACACGGCCATCACGTAGGCGGTGGCCAGGAGCCCATCCAGGGCGCCCTGCGGCTGCAGCAGCAAAGCCGTGGCCAGCCCGAAAGTGGTGAAGTCGGCGAAATCGTCCAGTTTGGCACCTGTGGGCAGCGAGCGGGCAGCTGCCAGGCGGGAGGGGACAGAGGGGGGGAGAACACGGCAGTCGGGGTTTTCGGGGTGACGGCACCAACTCACCCAGCGCCGAGCAGGCGTCGAGCTGGCGGGCGACAGCGCCATCGGCCAAATCGAGCAGAAACCCTACCAGCAGCAGCCAGCACGAGCGCTCGTGTTGCCTGGGGAGGATGGAGAGAGCGAGAAGGAGGTCACTCCCCCTTTATAACACACTCTTTTTCACCCCGTTTCCCTCTTTTCCCCCACCTATTGAGGCTGCAGAGGATGGAGCAGAGCCCTGCCACCAAATTGGCCATGGAAAGCCCATTGGCAGCATTTTTCCGGATGAACTCCAGCGTCCGACTCCGGCCCGCTCGCTCGCTCAGGAACAGCTTCTTCGTGGACTGCAAAATCCCTGCAAGAGCAGAACCGACGGACCTTTTCCAACCGGGGAGTCATTTAATGCCCCCCCCGAGGTAACAGGACGCCAAAGCCCCCCAGGAAGGGGCTGCAGGAGATTTTGGGGTGCTGCCGCCGGCGGGAGCCTTGTTGGCCATTCCCCTCCTCAAACTGAAGCCTCCGAAAGCTTTCTTAGCTTTAGCAGAATTTAAGTTTTTTGCAAGCCCTGCCTTTTAGCTACCCGAGGGGGGCGAAAATGAAACCAAATAAATGAAGCAAAGAGGAAAAAATAATAATAATAAAAAAGAAAAACAAATCCAAACCCAAGCTTAGACTAAAAACCAACCCCGGTTTTAAGCTCTAGTGATCTTATATACCTATAAAGCTAAGTTTAGAGAAAGAGTTTAAGGGTCATGTCCTACTAGTGGGCTTTGCACCCTGCCTTTGCCGTGGTCCCAAAGCCAGGCAAGCTGGGGAGATCCTTCATCTGCAAGAAAACAGCACGTCAGAGCAAAACAAAAAGCCCCCCTCCCTCACCACCCCCCTTTACCCACTCCCAGCTGAGCCCGGGCCAACTCATCACCGTCCCGGTGACTGAACGCCACCGAAAACGGCTCTTGAGGTGAAAAAAAACCACCAAAACCACCCTAATTTGCGAGGAATTAAAATCTGTTCCTGGGTTTAGGGAATCCGGCCGGGGTCGGTGGCTCGGGACAGATGCGGTCGCCACCGCCGGTGACCTTTGGACACCACGCCCCGAGCCGCCGGTGCGGGCTGAGCCGGGCTGGTGGGGATGGAAAATCCCGCCTTCATCTGCTGCTGCGGTGGCTCTGCCGCCTCGGATTTTACTGGATTCGGTGGTTTTTTGGGGGGCTGAGCACGTGCCCAGCGCTGTCACCTGCTTCTTGTCCTTGGTTGAGGCTAATACGGTAGGGTTTGGGGTCTCCAAAGGCAAAAAGGGGTAAAAACTGGCAATTTTGGGACTTGCTACCACCATCCCCACCCTCCCCAGCACCTGGCAGGATCATGCCCCCAGTTACCGGTTCCCCAGATCCGGGTGCCAGCGAGCATCACAATCCCTGGGTGTCGCTGCAGTGCTCAAACTTGCCCATTCTTGGTGGGTTTTAGCCCCAGAAGCAAAGGACCAGGATGAGAGGGACCTCCCCAGCCCCACACCACTGCTGGTGCATTTTATTACTATGTTTGGGGGGAAGAAAAGGTAGGTTTGGCTCTTCCTGGGTGACCCTGCATGCGTTACGGGGGCTTGTGCCCCCCAAGGAGAGGTCTCACCCTCCCAAGGAGGAGGGGACAAGGGGGTTCAGCTGGCAGAGGTGCAAAATTAACCTGTTTTTTCGGGGCTGCTCTCTTGTTTTTAAGCTTTTCTGACCCAATTCACAGGGCTGAGCGAGCAGTGCTCACCCAATGACCCTTCATTTTTCCTCTAAACCCCCCAAAACGATGACACCTTGCGAAGGGGCCGAGTGGCGCTGGGGCACCGAGCTGGCACTTACCAACCGGCGGTGACACCATCCACATGGCTGCGGTGGTGGCGGCGATGCCCCGCTGAGGGGAAACTGAGGCTGGGCAGGTTCGGCAAGCACTCACCCGGTGCGACGGTGGCGCCGCGTTATATAAGGGACTGCACCCACGGCTGAGTCACCCGCAGGGGTGGGTCCGGCCAGAGGACACGGGGGGTTTCAGAGGCGGCTGGCACCGCCGGCGAGGGAGGAGCTGCCCCGAGGGG